CCCAGACGCAGCCCCCGAGCCGAGCCATGTCAGTCACGGGCTCGGAAATCAGTGTCACTTTGCTCACGGATTATAGCATCACCAAAGAAGAGGAGAGTGTTTAATTGCACTTGGGGATCTGTCATGCCTGCTAGATCTGCCAGCAAGATCCAGAAAATTGCCGAAGGGAGAGGAGACTCAGCAGAAAAAAATCTTCCCAATGCATCTTAAGATCTCATACTTCGGCATCACGGAACTTTCCTGCAAATCACAGCCATCTGTTTCACACGTGCACATCCCTGGTTTTCCTCCCAAGCTGCCCTCCCAGGCACGTTCAACTTAACCAAACCCCACCTATTCCTTTGGCCCTTTGCAAGGAAGAGCAACAAGAACCTGACTTGCTTTAGGTCAGGGTAGAGAACATTGGCAGCTGCATAGGAAGGAAAGGATGAGCTGTTAGCTTGCGACTGCAGGAGGAGAAAAGGGCTGGCTAACAGCTCAAATAGCATTAACATCCAATTGCAGCGTTGGAAGGGACCTTGGAGGTCTTCTCGACTGACCCCTGCTCAAGACTGACCCCTGACCTGATTCCATTTCAGGCAAATGGTTGTCCAACCTCTTCTTAAAAACCTTCTGGAGGCAAGCCTGTTTGTCATTCTCCTTACTCGCAGGTTGTTTCTCTCTCCTGGATTTCTTTCCATTCACTGTTTCTTGCATTATAGAAAGAGGTACTGGGGGGGGGGGGGGGGGGGGGTTAGTATAAATTAGTCATAAAGTGGCTACATACACCATCAGAACCAGAGGTGGGATTCAGCCGGTTCTGACCAGTTCTGGAGAACCGGAAGTGGAAATTTTGAATAGTTCGGAGAACCGGCCAATTCCGTCTCTGACTGGCCCCACCAACCCCATCTCTTCTCTGCCTCCTATTGAGTCCCAGCTGATTGGCTGGGTCTTCTTTTGTTGCCCTGCACAGGAGAACGGAGCTGGAAAGCAGGTTAGTGGGGTGGGGAGGGAATGGTGATTTTGCAGTATATCCTTCCCCTGCCATGCCCCCCAAGCCACGCCCCCCCCAAGCCACATCCACAGAACCAGTAGTAAAAACTTTTGAATCCCACCACTTGCTGGTTGCAAATAACGGCCAATAAGCCCCTCCCTTCATATCCTGCTTCCAGAGACATTGGCTTCTGCATTCAAGGCCATCATGGAGCGATATGAGGACTTTGAAATAAAGGTGGTCCTACTGTAAGCCAGTGGATTTACGACGGTTGCCGCATTATCGTCTTCTGTGATCGTCTCAGGAGGCTTCTAACACACAAAGTCAATCGGGGGAGGAGGAAGTCGGATTCGTTTAAGGACTGCATGATTTGCTTAATGACTGTGGCTGAAAAAGTCATTAAAGTCGGGCACAACTCATTTCACAAACACATTGCTTCGCGACGAAACTTTCTGGTAGCCCTTAAGTGGAGAACTGCCTAGCACGTCCTTGCCCCTTTCTTGAACGAAGTGAGAGCTTTGCATCTATCATCTGAAAGCAGGTTTTCTCTCCTCTATCGTACTACAGCCTTGTTGTGAAATTTCAATGATTAAGCCCTAATAAAGCTTGCTTTCAGTACAGCAAATGGTAACTGATTCTGTATTGCGAGTTGTTACTGAAAAACAGACTTGGGAGGGACCTCAGCGGTCTTCTAGTCCAGTGGTCGCCAACCAGTGGGCCGGGGACCTCTGTTGGTCCATGAGAAAATTGTGGTGGTCCACAGAGGAAGGTCACCCGCAAAGCAATTAATCCAGGCTGCACGGGAACACAAGGCTGTGCCGCCGACATGGCCCGCAGGAACACAAGGTTTGCATTGCGAACAGCATGAGGTAGTGAGGGGAGGGGGGAAAGGGCAGAGGGGGGGGAAACTTGCCCCATTCGGCCCACGCGCCTGGGCTGGTCACTGGGCTGCTTCTTTCCAATTCTTTCTTCTTCTGCTTTTGGCTGCACGCAAGGAAAGTAGAAAGAGTCTTTCTTTCTCTCCCCCAAACTCTGCCAGAAATGAGTCTTTGGGACCCTGCAAGGCCTCCTGCTCCAAGAAGCTGTGCTGGCAAAGACTCGTTTCTGGCGGAGTTTGGGGGAGAGAAAGAAAGACTTCTGCTGCTTCTGCTGCTTTCCTTGCATGGAGCCAAAAGTCCCTCCCTCTCTGTGTCCCCCTGAGAACGAGCTGGAGACGGTATCCTGCGATCCCAAATAAAGAACGATCGATCGGTAGGAAAACGGGGTGGGGAATTTTCCTGCAGACTTTTATTTTTATTTTTCCCAGGGTCTCTGGTCCACGGGATTTAAAATTATGAGTTTGGTGGTCCCTGAGGTCAAAAGGTTGGTGACCCTTGTTCTAGGCAGGAAACCCTGTAGCCATTCCAGACAAATGGCTGTCCAATCTCCTCGGGAAAAACCTCCAGTGTTAAGAGCCCGCAGTGAACAGAATCCAAAGAGGACAATTTCTAATTTTATGAGGTTCGACCCATGCCCAGTTGTGAGACCACCTTAATACTCAAAGAGTTGGGTTTAGGCTTATCATCAATACTTTTTCCCCAAGATGTTCAATATTTTTTCCCCAAGATGAGCGTGGCACAATGATTTTGGGAAATTCTTTTTCGTTTTGGAACTTCCTATGAGTTTGAAAACTCTGCTGCAGCTTTTGGTTGTTGTTTTTTTAGCTATCCCAATCTTAACGAATCTCATTAGAAGCCTCCTTCTCTTGATCACAATTTCTACCAACATTCAGATGAGTTGGAGGCCTGGAGCTAATATATTTTCCAGGGTTTTGGTTACAGCATTGCTCCTGTGGGTATGCCGCGGGAAAAATCCCCACTTAAATTAGGAACCAACTGCTGGGTTGTTTCTACTGACACTGGAATAGAAATACTAGATTTTACTGTGCTCAGCATGGTGCAATTTTTGAGCTGGGGCCAGGTTGAACTGCACATTTCCCTACGGATTTGATTCCTGTCCCTCACTAAGCCATTATTTGCTGTAGTATGGTTCGTTGACCAAGACACAGTTGGTTCAACACACATCATTAACCATTGTTTATGTGCCATGGTGGCTGAGTTATACATACTAAGCTTTTTAAAAAACCCTGTAATATCAAGCACTCAATAATTGCACTCATTATCTGTCATCATTTGCACATTCCTTTGAAATTATATTGCGCTTAATTTTATTGAATTTTCAGGAAAAAAAATCTCTTTCCAACAGGGCTGGAATGCTGCTGATTTCGGCGCAATCTAAATCACTATTTTCTCAGAAGTGCCATTTAATCCAGTGAGTTCAATATTAAATGAATGCACTTAAAGAGTTTTACCCAAGTAAAAAAATAACCAGCTGGACTGAGCTGGTATATCTCCAGCTTGTACTGCCCAAAGGAAGCCAGGCATTCTCCTGCCTTATTATTACAGTATCACAATACGTTCCGAGTTCCTATGCTAATGCATTATTTAAACTGCTTCTCTTATTGTAATATTTTGAAACCATTCCAATTCAGTAAACACTATAAACTTTTGACGCTATTCATCTTTTTTTTTTTTAAAAAAAATGCAACCGATGCATTTAGTTTAAGATCATAAAAATCACAGTCATCTCGAAACCATGGTAACTCAGCTCGGATCTGGTGCATTAGGAGCAAAACAACCTCGGGGCCAAAATTGTGAGGCTGCTTTCCAAAGTTCTATTTTGGAATCGTGAAAGGATCTCTAACAAGGCAGCCGTGGTACCAAAGTAGAGATGAAGGCAAAAGGTTATTGACAAATCTAAAATTACATCCAGCAAGTCCTTCTGACAGCTCGTTGGGTGGTGATTTAATGCCCCTTCTGGACAAGGATTTCCCTGTTGCATTTGAATTATCGTTCAGCTGGGTATGACAGCGAGATATTTTTTGCTCTGGAGTATCGATTTCAAAGGCTTGATGCTTCACAGCCACAAAGGCAAGGAGTTTAATTTATGGGTGCAATTCCTCTAAGGCTTTATTAACAAGAAAATAAATAAAAGATCTGAATGTTGAGGTCTGAGGATTTTCTTTAACAGCAGTGTTTTTCATGGCTGGCTGGGGAATTTGGGAGTTTAAATCCATGCTCTTAAAGTTGCCAAGTTTGAAAAACTCTGCTTTATAGTAAAAAAATGTAGAATATCTTGCTTTATTTTCTCTATTTGGAGGAGCTGTTTTTTTTTAATCACTCAAGTGTCTGCTGGGGCCATTGGCTGTACAGGAGGTTGCAAGCTGTGGATGATGGGCTTCATTGTTCCCACCCAGCCTCTGCTGTAGGTTGGAAGGCGTGGATGATGGGCTTCATTGTTCCCACCCAGTCTGCTGTGGCTGTACATGAAGTTGCAAGCTATGGATGATGGGATTCATTGTTCCCACCCAGCCTCTGCTGTAGATTGGAAGCTGTGGAGGATGGGCTTCATTGTTCCGCAGCTCCAGATCACATCAAGTTGGGATGACATAAGAGTAGAATTGATAGAATTTTATAGTATAACCCCCCCCCCCCATTTCATCCAAACAGGGGGCCATTCAGGCTGGGGATGATGGAAGCTGTAGTCAACCTCTTTCTTCTGTACGAACTGTATGGGCACCCTGATCCTGCTGTTGACATAGAATGGAAATGGATGAAATCTGAGAACTGGGAAGAAAATTTCCTTTATTCGTTTAGGAAGGAGAAAAAAAAATCAAGATTTCTTCCCAAAAGGGCTAGGAAAAGAGACTCTTTCTGGGCATGCGTAGTGCCCTCACTCTGATCTTCTTCCGCCCTTCCCTTCTCCGCAGCTCTCTGACGGGCTTGCTCAACTCTGAAGCTTATTGGCTGCCTTTGTTGATTGCCATTTTCGGCCTAGTCCCGCCTTCTTTTCGAAAAGCGACTTCCGCTCTCGCGCAGTGAGCAGCACAGGTCCTTTTCCCCCCCCATCAGCTGTACGCTGATAACAGGAGTGGGGGGCAGAGGCAGGGGAGCGGTTCTGCGCTTGCGCAATAACTTCCTCCGACGCAACGGCGGGGAAGCGCCCTATTTGCGTCTGCGCCGTCGCCTGGTCACCCATTGAGGCCAGAAACCGCGGCTTTTTAGCGCGGCGGAGCGGGTTGGAAAAGCCGGCGGGGACTCGGCCACCTCCGAGCGGCGGCGGTACCCGGCTCCACCAGCTCGGGATGGAGAGGCCCGAGCCGAGCCGGGCCACGAGGGGGCGGGGCCGCGCGTGCGTCGCAGACCCCCCGCGCATGCGCCCTATCGCCGGGCCTGCTGCGAGGCGTTTCCAGGCCGGGCCGGGCCCGGGCGGCACCCTGGTGGGGAGAAGCGACGCGGGAGGAGGCGTCGAGTCAAGCGGCACCATGAGCGTCGGCGGCTCGGACCGCAACGAGGAGTTCCATCAGCAGCTGCGGCTGCAGGAGCTCTACGAGCGGAAGAAGGAGGAGGAGGAGGAGGGCGGCGACGAGCCCTTCACCTACACGGACTCCGCCGACGGCACCCAGTACGAGTGGGACCGCGAGAAGAAGGCCTGGTTCCCCAAGGTGGGCCGGACTACAAGACCCATCCTCCACCGCGCGGGGGGGGGGGGGCGCAGGGGGGGATCCAAACCCCCCCCCCCCGGCCGGGGGTTTTGGGGGGGGGGGGGGAAAGGCACAGGTCGGGATTTTGCCTGATGGGAGTTGTAGTCCTAAAGCTGCGCTTGACGGTCTTCTGGTTTTGAGGCTGCAGAAGTCTTGCTTTTTTTTCCTTTCCTTTTTTTTGTGGGGAGCCTTTCCTTTGCGGGGGAGCCTTTTAGCCTTTCTTATAGAAACCAAATAATAATTTCATTAAAGGCGGAGATCATTTTTCTTTCTTAGCATAATAGTCCCTGCATTGTCTGTCTACAAATTGGCTGCACGGTAGTTGCTCTGGAGAGCGAGAGGGGTGACACATAAATTTATATTCTAAAATCTCTCTTATCTCCATCTCTCTATCTCTATCATCCCTATCCTGTCTATCTCTCTCATCTATCTGTCTCTATATCTCTATCTCCATATCTATCTATCTATCTATCTATCTATCTATCTATCTATCTATCTATCTATCTATCTATCTAT